GTAGCCGAAAAAGCTAGGTTAGGTTAGGTTAGGTAGGTTAGGTAGTCGAAAAACAATTAATTCATGAAAACTTGGCTTATTAGGCAAATCGGGCCTTGCATAGTAGGCTGAGAAGTGCGTTCTGGCTACTAGGTACGACATATATATATATATATATATATATATATATATATATATATATATATATATATATATATATATATATATATATATATAAATATATATATATATATATATATATATATATATATATATATATATATATATATATATATATATATATATATTTATACATATGTCGTACCTAGTAGCCAGAACGCACTTCTCAGCCTACTATGCAAGGCCCGATTTGCCTAATAAGCCAAGATTTCATGAATTAATGTTTTTTCGTCTTCCTAACCTACCTAACCTAACTTTTTCGTCTACCTAACCTAACCTAACCTATAAAGATAGGTTAGGTAGGGTTGGTTAGGTTCGGTCATATATCTACGTTAAATTTAACTCCAATAAAAAAAAAATTGACCTCATATATAATGAAATGGTAGCTTTATCATTTCATAAGAAAAGAATTAGAGAAAATATATTAATTCAGGAAAACTTGGCTTATTAGGCAAATCGGGCCTTGGATAGTAGGCTGAGAAGTGCGTTCTGGCTACTAGGTACCAGATATATATATATATATATATATATATATATATATATATATATATATATATATATGTCGTACCTAGTAGCCAGAATGCACTTCTCAGCCTACTATGCAAGGCCCGATTTGCCTAATAAGCCAAGTTTTCACGAATTAATTATTTTTCGACTACCTAACCTACCTAACCTAACCTAACCTAACTTTTTCGGCTACCTAACCTAACGTAACCTATAAAGATAGGTTAGGTTAGGTTAGGTAGGGTTGGTTAGGTTCTGTCATATATCTACGTTAATTTTAACTCCAATAAAAAAAATTGACCTCATTCATAATGTAATGGGTAGCTTTATCATTTCATAAGAAAAAAATTAGAGAAAATATATTAATTCAGGAAAACTTGGCTTATTAGGCAAATCGGGCCTTGCATAGTAGGCTGAGAAGTGCGTTCTGGCTACTAGGTACGACATATATATATATATATATATATATATATATATATATATATATATATATATATATATATATATATATATATATATATATATATATATATGGCATAACAGGTACGCATCTGTTGGCATAACAGATGGCATAACAGGTACGAGTCTCCTGGTGGGAAAGTGTTCTAAAGTTATATATATATATATATATATATATATATATATATATATATATATATATATATATATATATATATATATATATATATATATATATATATATATATATATATATATATATATATATATATATATATATATATATATATATATATATATATATATATATATATATATATATATATATATATATATATATATATATATATATATATATATATATATATATATATATATATATATATATATATATATATAACTGAAAACTCACACCCCAGAAGTGACTCGAACCCATACTGCCAGGAGCAACGCAACTGGTATGTACAGGGACGCCTTAATCCGCTTGACCATCACGACCTTATGTCCGGTCGTGATGGTCAAGCGGATTAAGGCCCTATACCAGTTGCGTTGCTCCTGGCAGTATGGGTTCGAGTCACTTCTGGGGTGTGAGTTTTCAGTTGTATATAGTCCTTGGGACCATTCAGGCTTGTTTGCATATATATATATATATATATATATATATATATATATATATATATATATATATATATATATATATATATAAATATATATATATATATATATATATATATATATATACAACAACACCATATTAAATTTGAAGAATACGACAGCTTGCTGAAATCAACACTAGAAAAAGCCCTCAATCTTTCCCTCAACGACTCACAGTGGAAACAGGCCTCCCTTCCTGTCAGACTCAGGGGCCTTGGCGTGCGCACAGCAACACAAATTGCTGTACCAGCGTTCCTGTCCTCTTCAGTGGTGTCTGACAACTTGGTGAAGGAAATCCTACCTGAGCACCTAGTTCAACAGGCAGGGGTGCATGATCCCAGCTTTACAGACTGCACAACCAAATGGGTCTCTCTCGCAAGGACCAGCACCCCAAACACCGCCTTCTGAAGCCCATAAGCTTCTATATTGGGGCGGAGACTTGAAGTGGGTAGAATATAGTTGTGCATTAATTGGCTGTTGATTGCTGGTGTTGACTTCTTACAGGATCCCTTAACCGCTCGTCCAACACTACCGGAGAAAAGAAGATGGTAGCCAAGGCTATTTTCATCCCCCTAGCGGCACTCCGTTGGTAATCTTGGGCATGGTATTTTATCAAATCACTTCATTTTTTGGGGCACACGTGAAGAACACAAATGCGAACAAGCCAGAATGGTTCCCAGGACTATATGCAACTGAATGAGTGATTTGATAAAATCACCACAATGAATGACGTGATTTGATAAAATACCATGCCCAAGATTACCAACCAAGTGCCGGCGGGGGGATGGAAATAGCCTCGGCTACCATCCTGGTAGGTGGCTGTTTTGTTTACCAGTGGCTGTTGCGTTTATCGGTGGCAGTTGGGTTTACCGGTGGCTGTTGAGTTTACCGGTGGCTGTTGGGTTTACCGGTGGCTGTTGGATTTATCTGTGGCTGTTAAGAGTTACTGTAGACGTTTGCGAGCACAGGTAGTGGTGGTCGACCTACGGTGAGGACAGGTAGAATGGTGGTAGACCTACGGTGAGGACAGGTAGAATGGTGGTAGACCTACGGTGAGGACAGGTAGAGTGGTGGTAGACCTACGGTGAGGACAGGAAGAGTGGTGGTAGACCTACGGTGAGGACAGGTAGAGTGGTGGTAGACCTACGGTGAGGACAGGTAGAGTGGTGGTAGACCTACGGTGAGGACAGGTAGAGTGGTGGTAGACATAAGGTGAAGACAGGTAGAGTGGTGGTAGACATACGGTGAGGACAGGCAGAGTGGTGGTAGACATAGGGTGAGGACAGGTAGAGTGGTGGTAGACATAAGGTGAAGACAGGTAGAGTGGTGGTAGACATAAGGTGAAGACAGGTAGAGTGGTGGTAGACATAAGGTGAAGACAGGTAGAGTGGTGGTAGACATACGGTGAGGACAGGTAGAGTGGTGGTAGACATACGGTGAGGACAGGTAGAGTGGTGGTAGACCTACGGTGAGGACAGGTAGACTGGTGGTAGACATACAGTAAGCATTATGACCGCTTGAAGGTCTTCAGTTGTGCCTTTCTGTCTGTTGTTTCGTACTTCCGTGTTCCCATATTGAATGGATGACCTGACGCGCGATATCAGTTCTTTCCTTTGATCCGTTTATGCGTCTCTGTCCAGCCTTTGTCTGTACATCAATATAAAGAATTAGTACCAATTGGTAAGGAACACCAAAGGATGGAAGTTCCCGAAAAGATGTATTTAAACTGGCTTTCTGACTTTCGAATCGCAAGTGTGTGTTGTCCTCTCGATATAACTCATTATTTCCTTATTCGTAGTTTTTCCCTCTCGCTTTTCTCATTCTCTCACTCATACCTCTCATCTTTTCGTCTCATTGCCACGCAGCTTATCGGATTCATCTTCCCTTGCAGAGTCATTTCCCTCCGGTCTCTTATCATTATTCTAATTTGATCATGAGGCGGCCTTAATATCATAGCGTGGCTCTCTCTTCTCCCGAAAATGCTGGGTGCTGGCACGGCGCTCCTTATGATACCATCAGCTCTACAGCCCAACTGGAGAAGGCAAACATGTTTGGTTCATGGCGTTGTGTCGTGTGGGGCAGGGAATGCCATGCTTATTGCAGCGTCAGATGTTATAAATTCATGTGGTAATTATATTGAATTGAAAAAAAATAATAATGAATAAAATACATCAGTTGAACCCCTGGAAGCTATCTAATCTATGAGACGATATATGCAAGATAATCTTTCCTATGATAAAATCCCAACTGTTGACTATCTCACCGACTCACCAAACAAATCGTCAATCTTGAAAGAAAACATTAATATCCAACCCATCAGGTAATATATATGAAGTTGAAATTAATGAACAAAAATTTCTTCGCCAGAGAGATGAAAAAATTTCAGCCAAATGCGCAAGAAAACTTAACTTATTTACGGAATGAAGCGAATCACTGAGATGCTTCAGGGTGAATACCACTAAAACCATATCTGATCTATAATTTGGTATTACTCTTGATAGTTTTCTCATGAAGGCTGAGAGGAAGTTCCATTAAGCAAGAAAGTGGTAGTATGATTTGAACTTTCTTAATATGTGCTAAAAAATTGTCTAAATTTCATAGGCTTGAAGCGTATAACTCAAGGGACAAATTTACGAAGCAGTTACGCAAGCACTTATGAACGTATACATCTTTCCTCAATCTTTGACGCCTTTGATTACATTTATTAATGAGTTTATGAGCATGAAAACTTCCCAATCATCTGTTGTTATTGTTATAAACAGCCTCCTGGTGCTTCGGAGCTCATTAACTGTTTGATAATTGTAAGCAAAGCCGCCAAAGATTGAGAAAAGATTTACAGGTTAGTAAGTGATTGCGGAACTGTTTTGTGAATCTGGCCCCTAGATTCTATAATTCTTTTACTTATAGTTTTGGGTTATTTAAATTGCTAAGAGTTGGCTATAGATTCACTGAAAAAAAGTGTATTTGCATGTTATTGTACGACTCATTCCGGTGACGCTTTCTTCAATATTTTTTTCATATATTAATTTAAAATAAATTATAATTATATGTATTTATACATCTGTGTGTGTGTTTACATTTGTCAAGTAAAAACCAGCCAAGCCGAAGCAGAGAAGCAGTAACATCTTACTGTTGAACTTTAGTTCTCAGCTTTTCACGACTAAGAAATTTACAGCATTTCTAAATTAGAAGATATGATCCTTACTGACGCCGTCTTCCCCAAGGCACCGTGGTGGCCCAGATGGTGGCCACGGACCACGATGACCCCGATGAGGGCCACAACGCTTGCCTGGTCTACTCGCTGGAGAAGAATGTGATAGACGAGTCGAGCGGGAGCCCCATCTTCAGCATCGACAGTCAGCTGGGGCTCATCACCACGGCGCTCTGTTGCCTCGACCGCGAGAAGACTCAACGGTACACCGTCCAGGTTGTGGCCACTGACGGCGGTGGCCTCAAGGGTGAGTGTACGGCAAGGGGGGGATGGGGGGGGACCCTCTAGTGCACTCTAGACAGCTTCTCTGCTCGATTTACCGAAGGGTTTCTAGATCTAGCATACCACTGGGGCTTTCGCAGTTGATGTACCATAGGATTCCCGCGTATACCGCTGGGTTCTACAATGTACCAAAGGGGGGCTTCTATGGTGAGTGTACCGCTCTCTTCTCTAGCGTACAACAGTGTGGTTTTAGTAGTGTGTTTATGAGGTGGTTTAGCTTGAGTATACTCGATTAACCTGTCTATACCATTGGACGTGTGGAGCATCAGTGTGCGGAGTCAACTCTCCACAAGCCACCATTCTGCCATCTACTTTAGTCTATTTGATTTGTAAATCGAAATAATACTCATCATGAACAATTCAGTCGTTCAATATCAATAACAAAACAGTAAATAATGCCGCGTTTAGGGAACTAATGCTTAAACTCTGATTGGAATAAATCACCACAATATAAAAATCCTACGGTGATAATACCATGAATGGTAACTGACAGTCACAATTAGATTGCCCAAAAATGCATAAATCTGTTGCATAAAATATTGATTTAATTATTTATTGGATGTTAACGCTAGGTTCCAGTTCATATGGTAAATTAGCCAATCGGGAGGCACATGGCAGGGATTTACTTTTAACTACTAGTAAGGAGTTTGTAAGTGATGATGTGGGGAGTTTAGTTGAAGTGATCGTCGTTCAATCTGATTAAATATCAGATTTTTTATGTAACAAATAGTGGTCGCAAAAAAGTTCCTGATCTTAAGCTTGACAATTTAGCGGAACTGCTTGAAGAGTTTTCCTACCAAAATGAAAAGTATCTCACTGAAGTAGAGCAACTGATCAAAAGTATCCATCAAACCAAACTAGTTAAATAATGAACAAAAAAGTTACACATATTTTTTATTTTATGCATCAAAAATTACCAGAAAGCAATGAGGAGAATACAACAAAATATATTATATTAGAATTTAATGCAAAGAAACTCGCTCGTCTTGGCATTCATGAATATTAATGACATACTACAGAAAATAGCACAGCAAGCCGAAAATATATTTGTTTTACATGGAGAAAACTTTTTTTTTCTTCTTTCCAAGTCTATTAGTTACACAACAGAAGAAAATGTTGACTTAGAAGAGACGGGAAGGATATTAGTTATATTTTATATCACTATTGTTGAGTAATAAATAAAAGTCAGTCGGTTCATTGTAACTTGTGAATAGGATGTTCTTGCATCACTATTAAAAGTCAACGACAAAAAAGCTAGTCCTTTAAAATTTTATCCAAGATTATTAAACAACTCTAAAAATTATATTATTTCAACATTGACCATACTTTCAATGTCACTCAAGCCAGGAATAGTTCCGCAAGAAGGGAAACCGTGCCAATGTCACGCCAACTCCTACCAAATAATTTTTTTCTTCTTGTAATTACCGGTCAATCAGCTGATCGTCGGTAGTCGGTACACTCCTGAAACCAATAATTCGAGAACTCGTAGTATATTATTTGGCGTCAAAGATAATTTCATTATCAAAATTATTTGCATAAAAATCGTGTGTGTATACAATGAAATCACAATAACGAGATATATCTATGACAAAATGTTTGAAGCTGGATAGGGATCAAACTAGCGTCCTGGGTGACGCCAGATGCGCGTCCGAGGTCACCCCGGACGGTGGTGCAATCCCACAGTTCTGCTCCAAAAATATTCTCAAAATGTTCTTATTAATTATCTTGATTTCGTTTGTTATACTTCTATATATATATTGAAAGTAAAGCGATAGATACCATGTTATTTTTCAGAAATCATTCAATAAAGTTCCTCAACGAAAACTATTTAAAAAAAAACAGAAACAAATGGTAGATGCTTTTGCATTAAGGTTTTCATGCAAAATTGGTTATCCTGATACAAAAGTCTACTTCGAAATGAAAATGCATCTGGATGGATAGAAATTTCAAGAGGAGTGCCCTAGCGTTTAATTTTGGGACCAGATTTGCTCATTTAAATGAGATCGATAATGATCTATTCTATGTCATAATTTATTGAAGCCTCTTAACTGGGAAGCAAAGCTGCAACACCAAACAAGCAAAGGAGATATAAAGCTGACTAAAGATATATTAATTAATTTGTCACACTAACGATTAGCAGACGCATTTTAATGCTGATAAATGCAAATTATTACATATTGGAAACAAAATAAAAAATGTTTCATGATGAACAACACCGATTTGACGAAAGTAAATGAATAAAAACACCTGTGAGTGAGTGAATATTGACCGGAGATCAAGCAGAGCACAGAAACTGGAAAAGTATCCAGTATAGAATTTTTAATTTAATTGGAAGACTTTTCGCGTTTCAATCGGAAAATGTCATTCTATTTTGTGGATATTTAGAAAATATAATTAACAAGTAATCTTCCTCTTATCTGCACATTAGATTGTTTGCAACATTATGAACAAACAAACTTGTTTTTATCTCATGCTCTATTGCTGTTTAAATGCCTTAGCAATTCTTGTAATATACCAAGTAACTAAGCTTAATTATGAGCTAGCACTGGCTACTCAGACACCTTTGTATTATCAAAACTGACTGTATTCATGTCATGAAAGAGTTAATTAGCCAACCTGTGAACAATCGTTTCTTATTTCTTATGGGAGTGTACGACCAACATTGTACTTCACATCTGGTGACTTAGCCTTTCACCATAGCCTTAGCCTTCCCTATAGACTTTTCCCCATAGCCTTAGCCTCCCCATAGACTTTTCCCCATAGCCTTAGCCTCCCCATAGACTTTTCCCCATAGCCTTAGCCTCCCCATAGACTTTTCCCCATAGCCTTAGCCGTTCCCCCTTTCCTTTATATTCCTGTGGGAATATTTGTGTGTTGTATTGGTTGCTGTGTAAATTGTCTCCCTGAACCAGCCTCTTATTCAGGGACAAGGGCAGGGACAGTGACAAGTGTCTCCCTGAACCAGTGTTTCCTCTCCCCTGTAGGGACAGGGACGGTGGTGGTTGAGGTGGGGGACGTGAACGATGTGCCGCCGAGGTTCTCACGGCCAGAGTGGACGCTGGACGTGTCTGAGAGTATGACCTGGGACCAAGTCCTTGCCACCCTCACCGTCGTCGATCAGGACGTCTCCAACAACTTCTCCTTCAGGGTCAGTTCTTCTCCACCCCACACCTGACCTTCAGGGTCAGTTCTTCTCCCTCCACACCTGACATTAAGTGTCAGTTCTTCTCCCCCCACACCTGACATTAAGGGTCAGTTCTTCTCCACCCACACCTGACCTTCAGGGTCAGTTCTTCTCCCCCCACACCTGACATTAAGGGTCAGTTTTTCTCCCCCCACACCTGACATTAAGGGTCAGTTCTTCTCCCTCCACACCTGACCTTTAGGGTCAGTTCTTCTCCCCACACACCTGACATTAAGGGTCAGTTCTTCTCCCTCCACACCTGACCTTCAGGGTCAGTTCTTCTCCACCCACACCTGACATTAAGGGTCAGTTCTTCTCCCTCCACACCTGACCTTCAGGGTCAGTTCTTCTGCCCCCACACCTGACATTAAGGGTCAGTTCTTCTCCCCCCACACCAGATCTTCAGGGTCAGTTCTTCTCCCCCACACCTGACCTTCAGGGTCAGTTCTTCTCCCCCCCCCACACTTGACCTTAATGGTCAATTCTTCTCCCCCACACCTGATTTTTAGGGCAAGTTCCTCCCGCCACACCTGACCTTCAGGGTCTGTTCTTCAGGGTCAGTTTTCAAAACCCCCCCCCCCACACTAGACCTTCAGGGTCAGTTCTTCTCCCCTACACCTGACCTTCAGGGATAGGTTGTCCCCCACACCTGACCTTCAGGGCCAGTTCCTTTCCCCCCCCCCCCACACCTGACCTTCAGGGCCAGTTCCTCTCGCACCCACCTGATCCCAGCCTGGTTTTAAGGTCCAAGGGTATCACAAATATTGCTCATGTAACTAATTGTGAACTAAATGTTTTTACGGACTTGAATGTGGTTATCAGTTCATGTGAGTGGGAGGTATAGCACCTGTACACCTCCATGCTTTGTGGCACACCAGAGAAGGCTTGAAGTCCCAGCTGGGGCTCAACTTGTGCCCAATTGGCTGGCATCCTTCTGTACTGAGGATGCTCACATGACGCTTGATAATAAAACGGGATTCTGCTTTGAGGTTCAGAAACCCGAAACCACCAGTGTATGATATATATATAACTGAAAAATCACACCCCAGAAGTGACTCGAACCCATACTGCCAGGAGCAACGTAACTGGTATATACAGGACGCCTTAATCTGCTTGACCATCACGACCGGACAAAAGGAAGTAATAGCCGAAGCTATTTGAACCACTTCCCCGCCGGCACTCGGATGGTAATCTTGGGCATAGCATTTTATCAAATCACCTCATTCTTTGGGGTTCTTTGGGGCTTACAGTCCCCAAGTGGGCATTTAAAGGCATAGACGACGTTGGTCTCCTTCAAAGCGTTCTGCTTGGTGTCTGGGGAGTTTTTCATGAGTAGATTGGCCGTTTTTTTGGCTTTATAATAAATTATCAATTGTATTTTCTGATTTTTGTCTGTAAGGATGACTTCCTATCAACAATATCTTTCAGGACCCTTTCCTCCGTTTTATGAGCCGTCGAAAAGAAGTTCCTGTAAAGTAGTCTAATTGGGGGTACAAGTGTTGTGTTGGTTGACTCTTCAGAAGTTGCATGGCGTTTTACCTTTTTTTTTATGATGTATTCAACGAAACCGTTAGAGAAGCCGTTCATGACTAAGACTTCCCTTACCCTACCGAGTTCTTCATCGACTTCTTTCCATCCTGAGACGTTTCCATCCTGAACAAGATGGAAATTTCCATCTTTTTCCTGACTGGACAGTCACTATTGGCATTGAAGCACATTCCTATGTTTGTTTCTTTGGAGTAGACTGCAGTATGGTCTATGAAACTCCGCTCCTTTTCGTGACTGTTACATCCAGAAAGGGCAGCTTCATCGAGGGCGTTCATTGAAAAGAAAGGGCGTTCATTGAAACTGTGAACGCCAAGAAATACGGACTCCACCTGCCAAAAGTTGTTGGGGGAATACAAAGCTGTGTATACCTATGAAAATGTCAGACCCACAAGCCTGGAAACCCACTTCGGCCAATCATCAGCTAGATACCCACACCCACATACAGACTGGCTAAGTGACTCAATGGGTTGCTGACTCCTTTCGTACCCTGTGCTTTCAGCTTGAAGTCTCCCAAGGGATTTGTCGACTTACTGCGCGAAGCACGGGCCACGGGGATAAGAGCCTAGTTGGATGTGGAGTCCCTATTTACCAACGTGCCTGTGGACGAGACAATCGGGATGATAGCAGAGAGAGTGTATCGTGACCCGGCTTGCACTCCTCTTGACATGCCAGAAAGCATACTCTGGAAACTACTCCAAGCCTGTACTAAAGAGGCACCCTTCTTGAGCCCAGATGGGCACATGTATAAGCAAGTAGATGGGGTCGCCATGGGTTCTCCCCTAGGTGTCCTGTTTGCGTACTTCTACATGGGCACCATCGAGCAGAGGGTCTTAGTTGACATGGACTTGAAACCCACCATATAAAGCAGGAATGTTGACTACATTTTTACACAGGAACCTTATGCCAGATGTCTGCAGCAGCTGAAGGAGGCATTTGAGCAGAATTTTGTGTTG